ATTTACGATTTAAAGATTATTCTTTATTTAACGCTGATTTCTTTTTAATTGCATGCGACTTCCTTTCTCTTCGAGGCTTTAGATTTACCATAGAAACTTCAACCAAACTTAACTTTTTGTTTGAAATTAGATAAGAATAAACATGTTTACATTTTTTTTTTTTGCGAAATTATGGCATGAACATACGATATCTTTCCAATTTTCAGCATTGTTATAGATACTTAAAAAGACAAAGCTTGAATAGAATTCATAAAATTCTCTAAATGTTTGGAAATCACCAAATAGTCCTTCTTTGATACGATTTAACTCTAAGTCACTGTATTTCTCTTTACATAATAAATATTTAACGTCGTCTTCACCTCTTAAAAATGATAAATTATATTTCTCATGACACATCTCTTCTTCTGTGTATAGAATTTTCTTCATACTATGAATACTGGTATATGTATTCATACTGTATGAACACTATACATACTGGTGCTAAATTCATTTAAAATTGTAAAGCACACATCAACAAAATCGCGAAAATTACACTTCGTCCAATTGACATACTTATTCTTTATAGTAAGATTAAATCTTTCCAATGCATTGTTTGTACTTGGACTAAACACATCGTAGGCTTCATACCAATTACTGTTGCGATCTATATATTGAGCTTTAAAATGATTAGAAAAAGCTTCTGTTTAACAAAAGTGTTTATACTTCTGTAAAAATAAGTTTATGCCTACTTTAAATATACTTTTAGATGTAAGAGCTTGAAGGAAGTTTATTTCATTTTTTGCATCAGCGTGAAATACCTTTTCAAGCTTGTTTATCGTTGCATTCATAAGCCTGTTAGTGTGTGCCCAACATGATGTCCTTAACGATCCATTTGAATAAAAAGCAACAGCTGCAGATATTTGGGGAGCGTTGTCCGCAATAAAATCTTTTTTAGAAACAAATTTTGTTTCGTGCTCAGAAGGAGAGAGAAGATGATTAATGATCCAAGTATTGGTATCTTAAAATTGTGAAATACATATTGCACTGTAAAAAAAACTTTCTGTTAGTATCTGAGACCCCCACAACAATAACTGGAAACCCGTAAATATTAAGTTTATAAGTTTCATCTAAGTGAATATTCCCACTTTCTCCTAACTGCTTTAAAAGTGCATCATGTGTGAATAACACTCTAATTGGGGTAGTTTTATAAGCCAAAATGAACGACTTTCCTTTATCAGATCTTTCTGTTCTACTAGCACAAATCTCTAAAAGATCACCTAATGTGAAGGTTGTTTGATTAAATGTAAATTTTTTCTTTTCACGAGATATGAAGTTATAAATCTGCTTAACTTCAAGTTCTACAAATTTTGTTTTCATCAAATTATAGATATCTCGAGCTCTTGTAATGCCAAAATCGTAATATTTTTTGACCTCTTCTAATATAATTTTTCTACTTTGAGTAGCAACACTTTTAAATGTATTATAATTAAGGCAATCTTTAAAATGCTCCCCAGTAGTAAAAAAATTCGAATAAAGATTTTTTAAGTTGTACGTAGTACGAATCTTGGCAGTGCATCCAAATTTTGTTTTATTTTTACAACAATAATATGTTGTCTTGAAAAATTGAGAAAAAACTTGGAAAATTGAGAAAAAATAGGGGTAAAGAAGACGTGACCTCTAACGAAATACATAAGCATTCTTTAAAAATGTTTAAAGTAAAAAATAGTTGATTTTTAACAAAAAAATATTATTACATACTTAAATCATAACATAAAGAAGTAACAATAAACCAACCAGCCTTTTAATTTTAATTCAATAATTTATTTACTTTATATTTTTAATATTTTATCCTCAACTATTTTATAGTGCAAAGATATCCCGGCAGTTCTAGATTTTCTTGTAATTTCAATGACCTGTCCACTATGATCCCCTAGGTATCTACACACAGGATCTCTCTTAAGAATTTTAGGCATCTGCTCACACTTAATTTTAAATTTCTCTAGAAATCTATTTTTTTCCTCTTCGCTAAGTATCCTGTGCTTTGATACAAGAATATGTTTCGTAATATTAATAACCAACTCCTCTTCTTTAAACATCTCAATGTTAAACTTCTCATTGCTGTTGATAACATTAGAACAAGCTGGACTTATCTTAGAATATACGATAAATATTATGTTATATATATTTTCCTTTTGATAGTCGGAAATCACGTTCTCTAAAGAAGATTTTCCTATTTTATCATCATTGTTTTGAGAAAAAGATTCTTCAATGAAAATTCCTCTGATCATAGATTGTATGCTCTCGCTCTCCGGAATTATAGCAATCACAACCTTAAGGGTTGTGATGTCGAATAGGCTTGCCTTCACAAGACTTAAAGATTAAGGTGNGTTATCCTATGAGGTGGAGGGTCATCGCGTGCTGAGTCATCTAATGACTCGAGTGGCTGGAACCTATTATCGACAGAGGTTCCTGCAATATCGGCCAAATGGCCGATTCTTCGAAATTTTTTCGGATTGATGAAGCCGTCGATGTCCATAGCATTGGCGCCCGTGGAGGCGTTACTTCTTTGCGAATCACTTGAGCTTGACTGCGTTCTTGCCACTTTGAGGTTAGGCACTATCTTTTCATTAGTTTTGGTTCCGAAGTTTTTTTGGAACCAATTAGTCATATTCATATCTTGCAAGGCTCTGTATTGCCTCCGCAATTCTGCTAAAGGCAGGGTTCTTTTGGATTGGCTAGCATAAGTCCTGTTTTCCATTTTTTTCGATTTGTGCCTCGGGTCCGAGTACGTGGTCCTCTGACCCACGCCGTTACGATTTGTACACGCAATCTCACTTATTACTGTTTATTTTTTGCACCTTATTGCTAGATAGATAAAACGTACCATAATAAACACTTTTTTCACACCTCGGTGTGGAGACAATAAGAAATATTAACAATTACTATCAAAACCCTTGCTCTGAGCGAACTGTCGAATCCTGTTGGTCCAGTCAGTCAGCGGTCCAATTTTTTTCACGAATCCTATACAGGGGGCTCAGCTGGGATGAGGGGTCTGTTTCGTAATATGTTCCACAGTCTTACAACGCCACGAAAAGAAAAATTCGGTCATTTGTGAGAAGGATTGGTCGGTGAGCCCTAGCTGAAGAAGCTCTCAATTGTCTTTTTTGAACAAATTTCAAAAATGTTTTCTAGAAATCTTTTGCAAAATATGGAGATAAGATTTAAAAAAATCTTTCAAAAACCTTTAAAGAAATCTTTTGCAAGTTTTTGAACGCGGACATTTTCACCTTGTAAAAAGATTTTTTAGAAACCTTTTTGAAAGACTAAAGGATTTCCAAGATATGTTTTAGACAGACTTTAGAAAGTTTTTATGTTATGTGGGTACCGATGCTTACCTTTCGAATAACCTGGTTACCAACCGACACTGTCGGTAATGCAGATCCCTCTATGAACGACAATAGATTCTAAATTGTCCTATTTTACCCATTCTACAAAATGCAAATATGGATAGTCGTTCATAGGAAACACAGTATTATTTTCACAACAATAATAATAATAATGGAAAGAAAGAAAAATTACTTCGGACAAAATATTAGAGTATATAATTCCAAAAACCAAAGTACATTAACGTGAACAAAATACCCGATTAATAATTGATCTATAAGCTAATGTTCGTACAAACGTATTATTTACTCGATACAAAATAGAAAATAATTTAAAAATTCTATCTTACAAAGATTAACATAATATTTATAGAAATTACTTTTCCACAAAATTATACAAACTAAATCTTTACAAAATATTACTAGAAATTACTTTTACACAAAATTCTCAAAGATCTCACCTCTCGCTCTCCTGAATTATAGCAATCACAACCTTAAGGGTTGTGATGTCGAATAGGCTTGCCTTCACAAGACTTAAAGATTAAGGTGATCTTTTCGTTGTCCTTTGTGAATTCTTAAAGCCCTTTGTCCACTGTGGCCTCTATAATCCTTGAAGATGTGTATTCGTAAGCGTCCGGTAAAGAACTAGAATGGATGTCCTTTTGTACTGGCCCAGCAGGGCGTAGGCACTAGGGGATGGAGAAGTGGGGAGGCGAGAGGTGGGGGTWGCTAGAGGGGCGCTTCGGTAGTTACTGGTGGTTGATTGATGCTCACGATGAGTATCGCTCTAGAATTTTGATGGAGGTGGACGCGCGCGAATTTTGAATACTGCTAATTACCGGATGATCCTTTCGGATCGTACAATCATCTAGGAAATGTACAGAGACAGGAGCATCACCCTTATAACAAATATATCTAAGAGAGAGTCTATTGGAGGATGCATTGGGAAATCTTGCTAAAAACTCATCATATGGTAAAACCTTCTGATCTGTTTTGTAACCTCTGTCACTTATCATTTCTACAGTTGTATTTCTACACAACCAAAGATTTCTATCCTTTTGATTTATTGACATTGAAGGGTGAAATTTTGTTATGTTATTTCTGTGAAATAAAAACGTCAAAAAAAAAAATAAAATCAACTAATTTTAATACAGATATTTTATAAAGTAAAAGACTAGATGAATTTCAATAAACTATGAGTTAGTTTCAAAAAATCATAAAAAGAGTTATATATTTAATAAAAATCACTTTATGTTCTTTCATTTTTAAAAAAGAAGTTACTTTATGATGTATTACCTTTAGACTACAACAAATCTCCTTAATTATATCTAAATAATTTTATATGACAGTACATTTGCAGGAATAATGAATTTTTTTAATGCGTAATTGTTATAGATATTTTCCAAGTAATAAAAAGTAACTATGTTCAAATTTTCGAAAAAGTTTCATACAAAAATTCTTTAGACCATCAATTGCGTGTTCCAAGCAGATCTCAGTAACATTTGTTTAAAAACACTAAGAGTCCGTAAGAAACGCTTTTTGTCTATCTCAAATGTCTTTTCTATGATATTAATTACATATGAGACCTTTTTACAATCCCTTTACACTTTAATAATTTCTTGGTGAAATTCTACCCTTATGGGAAACAAACAATCGAAGATAAAAACCCCTTATGAAATTTTAAATATTGAACCTACATCTACAAAGAATGAAATCAGATCCGCATACATAAAGCTTATGTTACTACATCATCCTACGAGACAGAAGAAATCGGATCCACAGAAGGCAGTAGATATTACTAATGCTTATACAACTATTAAAAGTTCCACACCTTTATTTGAATATTATACAGAGGAGCTGTTTAAGAAAGATTTTATGAAATATGCAGCAGATTTTTATGAAAGAATAGGAGACTTCTGTGGAATTGTTTCTCCTGATTTTATCACAAATTACATTGAAGTATACAAGACATTCAATAGATTTAGACTTTACAAATGTGCTAGGAAGTTCAAGAATGAGAATGAGAAAAATTTATTTTGTTTTAATGTATTAAAAATTTCAAATATCATAAAAAAGTTGGATGATAGAATTGTAAAGGAAGATACAAAAGCTTTGAAAAAGCCTGTAACATCGTCCGTCACAGTCGAGAGGAAACCAAATATTAAACCCTACTGTTGCAATGAATGTAAAAAGAATTTTAAATCTAAAAACCAATTGATAAATCACTATAACAGTAAAAAACATTATCTAGCGGTCGAAGAAATGGTAGAAGACCCTAAACTATTTGTACAAAGACAAATTCAAAGTATTGAAGATATTTCTTTTGAGGAAGAGGAAAGTAAAAATTTAAAAGATGAGATTACAGATATATTTGAACACTTGACCCTGCAAAAAAAACTTAGCTCTTATGAAGATGTACTTTAAAACCCCGAGATTAACCCTGTTTTAGAGAAAGACTAAGATAAAAGCTCTTTTAAAAAGGAGGTAAAGCCTCGTGGTGAACCAGAACGTCTTTAGAACGTGCTCTAAATGCAAATCTATCTTTGAAAATAGGATTACATTATTAAAGCATATTAAAGAGTCTCATACATAAAGTTATTATAATTCTAAAAGCGGATTTACAAATAATTGGTCTTCCTTGTTTAAGATAACTTTACAGAACAATAAACTTTTTAAAGATCTTGAAAAGTCTTACTCTTTTAAATACTTTTCTTATGTTTTCTACACTAGTCTTACTTTTCTTTATTTCTTTAAAAATTAGAGAACTGGTGGTCTCTTGAGAGAAGTATAAAGAAGGATTAATCAAGGAAGAATAAATCGAAGAATAAATTTTGGGATTAAACGTTACTTCTACACCATCCTTCTTTTCGATATCAAAATTATTTTTATTTTTACCAATAAATTTGGAGCTTTTAACTATCCCAGACTCGATTTTAAGATATTTAGAAACTCTATCTTCTTTCTCTTGGTTTTTAGTTTGCTTGATTATTTTGAGGTATTTAAATTGTCTTATTTTGTATAAAAAATATTCTAAGTTTGAAGTAAAAACAAAGACATCTTTTCCTAAAAAATAAAGTTCCTTAAATGCTTGCAGAGTTGTAGTTCCATCTGTAAAGTTTAAGACATATTCCTTTTTAGCATCAATAGTAAAATATGACATTTTGTCGTTAATTTCTACCTTATCATTTTCGATTGAATTTACTAGATAGATGATCACGAGGGTGATACAGTTTTCTTTTTAAATAATTAAGCTTTACATCAGGTTTAAACAAATTTCTTTACAACAAAATCTTCGATCTTATGTAATTACAAAGTTTAAAGTTTTTCCTTAAAATGTCTTTGGTTCTATGATAGTAACTTTAAAAAAAAATATTTTTAACTCAAATTTCAGTATGAACAAATTATTTTATTTTAAGAACTAAATCACAATGTAGATATTTCGATATCGTTCTTTGTCCAATAAAATCCTCACAAGAACTAATCACATATAGTCAATAAATTTCTTATCCAGTCAATTTTTCACACCAAAAAAATTTTGAAATTGGTGTTTTCTAACTCCTATGAAAGATTATTTAAAGTTTGTTTACTATGGCTGTTTCCATTCAGCTATCCTTGCCTTATTCACATTCAAAGAAGCCTCTAATTCTTTCACATTCTACAACATTCTAACTAAAACAACTGAAAATAATTTCTTGCACCTTCTTCACGTGCCTGCAATCCTTTTTTTGATATACTCATTCACCTGTTTTATCATATTCAAGATATTTGGTCCTCTTATAATACAAGAGGTAAATGTTGTAAATGATAACATTTTCTTGTTTCTTACGGATGTGCTTCTAGTTTTATCTGTATTCAGTAAAGATATAGAATTTAGAAATGGAATCATATTCTTTATTATTGTCTGTGTTAAATCTATGGTTTGGGTCACTAGCAGTAGAATGGAACACGTTACAAATATGTCTATGATTTATTTATCGTATTGCTTGCTGCTATTCTTCGGTTCTATGACCGCATTATTTTGTTTTTTGAGTATTTACAGGATAAGCATTCTATTTTTGTTTGCTTTTGAATTTTCACTGCTTACGTTGAGTTGTATTAGAAACCTTCTATTGATGAAAATTAGTTTGGCTGAGAACGATGACAATAGGTCTTTGTATACATTTTATATTGACATAGTGTATCTAACACACTTGCTTATCTTCTATGTGATTTTTATTTTTATAACCTCAATCAAATTTAAGATACCGCTTCATGTTTTTAGATCGTCAGTTAATATCCTTGAAAAACTTACAAATAAAATTAAGTCCTAAAGATCATATATTAAACTTTGTAAAGATTTAGAAAAATGCAATGAGGGAAAAGGAGATCCTACGTGTCCTATATGTAGAGAGGATATGGATATAGGCAAGAAACTCAAGTGTAGTCATGTGTTCCACTTAGAATGTCTGAAAAAATGGTGTGAGAGACAACAATTCTGTCCTATATGTAAGGTTGATCTGATGTTTAATCTAAAACAAGAGGTAATTTACATAGAGGATGTGGTTATTTCCGCTGTGCCTATTACCATTGATGAATAAATGTTTCTATATTAACATTAAAATTACATATTTAAAGTGGTTACACATAAAAAGTTTTTTTAGTAAAAGGGTATGTTAACAGTGATAAAAAGTATTTACAAGTATTTTAGAAAACCTACAGGCTTTCTGCCCATAATGAACTATGTGAAAGCTGTCAGGATACTTGAAGTAAGAAACAAAGATGATTTGTATAAAATGTATAAGCATCTAATTAAAATTAATCATCCAGACAAAGGAGGATCTCCCTTTTTAGCTAGTAAAATAAACGAAGCAAAGGCTTTTTTAGAAAACAACCGATAAAATATTCTGAGGAGATCTGAAAATTCAAAATTGGAAGGCTTGTCTTTTATCTAATAATAGGTGATCATAAACACTACTACAGATTTTCTTTGTCACTCAGTTAATTAAAGTTGCATTATTTCTACTTAAATATTTTGTCTTTGTGTGCATACAAGTGAACTACGAATTTGACCAACCCTATGATAACAATAACTAGGATAATATGCATCTTCATTGATCATACATTTCATCTTGTTTTAAATAATTTTGAGAACCAATCAAAATTTTAAAAGAATGTTTCGCAGCTGATTAAGAAATCATTTTGTATTCTTTTTTTTATGTCCTAAATTTAGATCTTTTTAGTAAAAATAGAATAAAATAACGCATGTAAATTTTAAAATCATTTTTATTTTGTATATTTTTTGTCCTTATGTCATGTATTTTTTGTGATCTTGCAAATGACAAAAAAAACATGATTTACGAAACTCAACATACTTATGCAATATTAGATAGGTTTCCTACGAGTAAAGGTCATATTCTTGTTATACCTAAAGCACACAGTGAATATCTTCATCTTTGTGACATGAAGATATTTCTGATACTCTTGTGGTCGTTAAATACATAGTTAAAAAGTTTGGTTACACAAAGTATAACATTTTACAGAACAATGTTCATATTCAAGAAGTATTACACGTACACTTCCATATTATTCCCTACGTTGATCAATTTCAATGTCTAAAGGTTAATTGGTCTAAATCGAAACCTAGTGATGAAGAGTATCAGAATGAGGTTATAATTTAAAAAAAAAAGCTGATCGATAAAAGTTAAAATAAAAGAAATATTTAGCATTTTTACTATCTTTAAGAGGATGATACAACATCAATATTTAATATTTCTCAATCTACTATTATTTCAAAATTTAAATAAATTTTTAAGAAAATCTAGAAGACAAAAAATTATTTTTTTATTGGTGATTTCTATGCAAGAATGATACAAATAAATTACTTAACTCTTGTGAAGAATAATTTCTATATGCTAAATAAAACTTTCAAGATAAATGCGTATTTTACTTAAATGTTATTTAAAAAGATTGACCTAGAAATACAATTAAGCCATTTTAATAATTTTTATTACAAAAGGATATAGGTAGAAGTTATCAACACTTTGTTAAAAGACTTAATCCTTGTACCTCTTATTTATCGAGAGTTATTGACGTAGATATGTATGTAAAACACAATAAAAATATTCAAATTGTTTATCCTAGGATGATAAATTCTAAAAAAACACTATTAATAAAGTCTATGCAAATGGTAGTGTAAAATAGAACAAATACTACAACAATTTTACGAAAAATTTTTGCCGTGTTTGTCTTTCAAATTAATAAACTAACTAAAGGTGCTTTTTTGAAACTTTATGTTCTCTGCAAAACTAAATTTAATATTATGTTTGCGTTTTAAAACTAATGTAATTCACTAGTAATATTTTTAAAATTTTTTAAGAACTTTTAATTATGTTATTATCTACGATTTGCATCAGATTTTCTCTATCTACTTTCTTTAAAAAAACCAAGTAACGTAAATGAACCATCCCATGTTTTTTTAGATAAGTATTTAAGTTGTTATTTTTAATGCAGAAGTTTAAAGAAATATATTTGTAAATGAATAGATTCTTGGTGTGATACATTAAAGATTGTCTATTTTATTACAACAATTTTTACTAGCTAAAAACAATCAGTAAAAAAAATTAGAAATTTTTATTAATATTTATGAGGCAAGTTTGCTAAGAATTTTTATCTCATTGGGTATTTCTGAACTTAATCTGTTGTCAAAAATCTTAACGTTTAGCTTAACGATAACATTTTCATAAGAATCCTCATGATTTATTTCATCAAGTAATGAATTTTTATACTGCTTTATAAACGACATAATAGTGCCGTTAGTCCATACAAATCCTTCCTGTGGATCATATTCTCCTCCTTCACCTTTTATTCCTTTTTTTTCACAATCGTACTGTTGGAATAGAACATGGGTTTAATTTTAAAATATTATTTAACAAGCAGAGAAAGATCGTATAATAAATATTAAGTATTAGCGCTGCTAATACTATTACCACACGTACTTTTCATGAAATTCTCCCTTAGATTTGTAAGCTGAATACACAGACTTAAAAAATGATCTAGCTACATGTTCCCCAACATTACTTTCTCCTATCTTTTCAAGATAATTAACCAGCATTTGAGCATGTGGTGCCCATGTATTAGGAAAGTCCCACTGTTGAGGTTTTCTTTTAGGTTTACCACTGCAAGGTGCTCCACCAGGATATCCAAACAATTCTTTCCTGTATTTGTAAAGAATGTCATAGTTAGACATATTTTTATCAGGTGGAATGAGACCAGCAAATAGAGGAGTAATGTTAGAAAAATAAAACCTCTTAGCCTTATGAGATTTAGTAGATATATTAAAATCATTACAGCATTTCTCTTCATCATTCCATAAAAATGGTTCATATTACCAGACCTCTTAACAGCATAAGTATCAAATTCTTTAATTGCCTTGTCCAACATTTTTCTTTCTTTATCGTCTTGACTTAACAATTTTTTTCAGAAAACAAGAAAGAAATAATTTGTTCATTCATTAACATAAAACTATTTAGATCAACAGGATAAACATTGATCACATCAAGCTCAGACAATGTTTCTTCATCTGGAAACCATCTAGATGAAAAATCCCACCCAGATTCAGCACCTGCTCTTAAATTTCTAAATACATTCTCATCATTTTTATTCTTCTGCTTTCTAAACGTATCCAAGTCTTCTTTAAAAAATTCCTGACGTGGAAACTTGTCTTGTATGTAGTATCTGTTGAGTCTAATGTCATCGTCTTTCTCTAAATCTGTTCTTTTCTTATCCATGAAATGATTGTATTCTTTTACAGCTGCTTCTAATCCTTCATTAAGAATATAAGATTTAATTTCTTCTTTGTCAGTTGATTTATACAACTTTTCTAACATTTGACAAAACAAAGGTGGTTGAGATATTCCTAAGTAGTAAGTTCTTGTTCCATTGGGTATATAACCGAACTTATTAATAAGATCAACAAAACAAGATATCAGTTTGTGGGCATAGAAATCCATATCACTAGAAATTAAACCTAGCATTATCCAATAAGAATCCCAGTAATAAAGTTCCCTAAATCTTCCACCAAGTACAAAAAAGATATCGTTTAGTTTTACACGAGAATTAAGATTGTCTTCTTCGAAAATGTCCTTCTTAGCATATTTACCCCATAACTTGATAATTTTCTCGACTATTCTCTTTAACTCATCGTCTAATGAAAAGGTCCATTTTGGAAGAAAAGGTAAATCGATTTTTACACTTTTTAAGTCTTTATCAACCTTAAAAAAATTATTCTCTACAAATATTTTAAGATCATCTATAAAGTCTTTACTAAGTTCTTCTTTGAGATTGATTTGTTTGTTTAGGAATAAATCTAATATCTTACGAAGATCTATCTTGTATTTCTTCAATAGTTCTACATACTCTTCGTGTATTGAATCAATATCTTTCTTTAGATTTAAATCTACGAATTGTTTAGAATCATTGTCTTCGAAAACTAGATATTGAACTATGAATGCAATTTCTGAATGCTTGCTTGTTTTTAATAGTGAACTAGAATAGTCAATTCTAGTCATTTCGAGGGATCTTCTTTGTATTTTTTAAAAATTATGAAATAGAAGTTACAAAAAAAAGCGTTAATAATTCATTTTAGAAGTTTATTTAAATTGCAATATGTCATTTACATTGCAGTAAATATTTTTACAAGCCAATGATCAAATTTTTCTCAATTTTAAATAATACGCAGAAAGGAGAATTACAATTTTTTAATTTTAACAACAAAATAAAAAAAAGACTTGTGAAAGTTATATAAGAAAATTATGAACGTTGTGATAGAAAACGAGAGGAGTCTTTTGTATTTTTCTGAATTGATTTTTTGAGAGATTTTTAAAAAATTTTAAACTGATGCATCAGAATTTAATAAATCGTTCTAATCAGCAGCCCCTAAAAAATTATTAATATAATCATATTGAGCTTTATTTTTTTTGGAAAATATTCATGCCAAATATTAGTTTCAATCAAGAGCTACGATTTTTCAATGCATCGATCTCTTGTTTGTTCCTTATAAAAATATTACTTTAGATTTTTATTATTTGACACATCATAAAAAACAAGGGCAAAAAAAATATATCTTATGTAAAATTTTTCCTTTTAACTATAAAACCTCAGGAGGGAAAAACTTCTTGTTGATATCAATGTGTGAACATTGATATCAACGAATACACCAATGTTATGGTTTGGTGTAATCGCATCTGAGACGGATGTTTCAGAGTTAAATATAAATACTTGTTCGTCAGAACAAGTATGAGTAAAATAAATAAACGTATTTTATCTAAAAAGTCCAAAGAATGTAACACTTCTGAAAACAAATTGTATAACCAATTGAGAGCAATAATTAATAATTTTTTTAATCAATCAGTAAAAAACGTCATGAAACATTAATTTAGATGTCAAATAGCTTATTTATTTTATTTGCTGCTCATAAACTCAGACTAGAATTTTTTTTATGAGTAATTCAGAAAATTTATCAAAATTATAAATTTCTGCGTAATGCTCAAACCCTCCAAGCTATCATTCAAATGAAATTATGTACAGGTTTATTTTGATA